TGAGTGGAAGCATATTTTGGAAGCACTAAGTTAAGGGTCTTTTCTCTCTGCTTAATTAAAGAGTTATTCCTTGATTAGCAGCAGGGAACTATTCTGGCATGAATTATACCGGTGTAGGCTTTCATGGCTGGCATCAATAAAACAGCAGTGAGTGTTTGATCTGATGTTTCATCAGACTGTCTGATTGGCATTTTCAGAGACAGAGTTAACTGTTTTGTAATGTATCGCCCAGCAGCCCACAGATATCAGATAAAGGAAAAATTAAACCATGGCCATTCAGTTCATTATTGATTCATATTCTGGTATGAAATTTGTTGTCCACATTGCCACCTACTCTGTTTCTATTGTGGACTTTCTATGTGCTAAATATAATAACAGATGGTTAACAGGGGGATTTGAAGATTAGTGCAATGTTTAACTCAACCTCAATACACATACACACATACACACACATCACAAAATAAATCAATTACGATCACCAGGAAAATCCAAATAGGAGAAATTTTAATAAAAACCAAGCTTTCATCAGAAACTTCTGACATCGTCAGGGTTAAAGCCAGTCAATGGGAAAGAACTTATATACCATACATGCCGGCGTACAAGGCGACCTGGCATATAAGACGACCCCCGTCTTTGTCGCCGAGCCGCATTCCTAGAACGTCGTCTTATACGCCGGAAACTACCAATATTTCCGGCGTATAAGACGAGTCGGCGTATAAGATGACCCCGTCTTTGGCGCCGATTTTAGCGCTTGCGGAAGTCGTCTTATACGCCGGCATATATGGTAAGCGCCTGCATCCGCCTTCTGGACCGCGTCATCGGTCCCAGCTGATTAGATTGCACTCTAAATGTATCCTTGACACCAGCACCCAGTCATTTTCTATTCCTACTTCGTACACTCCCATTCACTCCTTCATCACTAATTCTTGGACTAAGTGGGATCCTCTCCCACCTTTTTTGGGTGATAACTGTTTCTATACTCTCCTCATCCTCTTGTGCATTGTTCTTCTCACCAGGGGTCCTGGGGTGTGGGCCATTCAATCCTCTCTTGATGTCACCATATGCTCCATTTGGACTCAACTGGTTTTCCCCGCCCCCTTGGGCTGTAACCCAGGTGTCTCCCTTCGTTCTATGTCTTCTACTGTCCTATCCCTTCTTACGTGAGTGGCCCCTGCTTGCATGTCATTCGACCTAATATTTCTTACTTTGTCCCCCTTTTCAACGTTCCCTATCACTGTCATATCAATTACATCCTGCCATTCAATCTGCTGTTGGTGGTCACAGTTTCCACTTAACATAGATCCCCTGTGTTTATTTTTCATGGAAGGATCCCTCTGTTATAAGTGCGAGTGTTCTCTCTCCATAATCTTGCGCGTACATGCTAGGCATGTTTGTAGGATGCCTCTTTCGCCTTTTTGGTACAACCGGCATCAATGAAACAGTGATGAGTGCTTGGTCTTAAAATTTGGTGTCCACATTATCATATATTCTATTTCTATTCTCATCATTGGATGGTACTGTCCAGATTATGTATGACTATATGTGACTGGATGAATCCTTCAGTTTTATTTTCTTTCCTTTTCAGCATGATACCAAATGGCAGGGAAAATGTCCATTATCAATACAGAACAATAGAACAATTCAATTGTTGGTTGAACAATGAAATACATAGGATGTCTGGAATAGGATCTTTCTTAGGAAAAGAACAGCAGAAACGTGATAGAATAGGTAAACTGGGCATCAATGGGAAAGATACATGCTAGCAGTAGTTTGAATTACTGAAAAAGCAACTCCCTGTTCACACCCACTTCTGATCACTTGACTTCCTGTCCTATTTAATGTTTGACAAACCATCATGGATTGCATATACCTTGTGGCTGCCTTTGGACAGAAGAAGGGGAATACTTTCCTTTAATCCAGGGGTCCCCAAAGTCTTTAACTGATTGATCCTTTCATGAAGTTTCTGATTGTTCATTGGTGCTCAAACATTTAATATATAGGATCATTTAATAAATACTATTTTTCTCAGTAATACTGTGAACAACAACAATGACCAATTGGATACTCAAATTAACCTTTGGGGGTGTGGTCAATATTGAGCATTGTGCATAAAATCTGCTTTAAAACAATACAGCTAGGAATGAAGGAAGCCTAACTCACTCATAAACTATGGCAGGATAATCTCATGGGGACAAAGGGGAAGAATTGTAGCCAATTATTGTTCATGTCTTGATTAGGTTCAAGGAGAGAAAGCTCCCTATAAGTTCTGTGCATATTGTGAAATGTGTTGTTTTGCATGTTTTAATTATCATGTTCAGAGATTACAAGCTTTTAGTTCAGGACCCATAATAAGTTTGCACTACAGTAACATTTAGTGTGTGTTAGAAGCTGATTGAAGATTTCATCAAATCTTGGATTATAAAAGAATTGACAGTTAATCAAATCTAAAGTCAGCCCTGAGCTTCATGTTTCAAACAAAACTTTGCATGTTGCCGCATAGGACTGATAGTTAGATAATGTTATTGACACAATGAATGTGAATTTGGGAAAATTCTGGGAGACAATGGAAGACAGGAGGCCTGAAGTGCTACGGTCCATAAGGTAGCAAAGAGTCAGACACAACTTGACTGAACAGCAACATAGACTTGAAGAAAGCCTTTAGTACTTTCTAGTGATATAAGGAATATAGAGGAATTATGGTAGCAGATGAATCATAAATGACAGGACAACATCTTAAATAATTAAATGAAAAGAAAATGACAAGGTTAAGTCACTGGCTGAGAAGGCCAGCTATACAAGTATAATAAATAAATAAGACAAATACTTTTATAAGCCAAGCTCATTTTCTGATAATTTCAGCAGCAGTCTTATGTAGTTTTTATGGCAACATTATGTAAGTGACTTGTCACTGCTTTCTTCCATGATATATTTTCAACTTTCCAGCTGAGCCCACCGTCTGGTATTTCTAATAGTCTTCAATCAAAGTACTAGCCCATATGCAAGTTGTTTTTGCAGTCCAAGAACATTAGCTAAATGTTGCTATCTACAGTAGATGGGCAAACTAGCTACAAACAATTTTTGTTTCTTGCTGTGTCATATGATTTCTCGCAACATCACTTTGCGTTAACAAAGTGCATGTTAAATCAATAATATACATATTCTGCAAACAGAAAATGCCTCTGGAATTTCCTGCCTAGGGTCGGTTATAAGAGCTAGTTGAGATGGGTAGCAAATTGAATTAGATAGACATGGCTAGAAATTGGGAGACTGGGAGTTCTAGTCCTGCCTTAGACATGGAAGACAGTTTATTACTTTGGGGCAGAAGAAGAAGAAAGTAATGACAAATCACATCTGAAAGCATTGATTAAAAAAAAACCTGAATGAATTTGTCCTGTAGTTTCAAGATTCAAGATTGACTCAAAGACACAAAAGAAAAAGAATGCAATTTATTTAAGCATACGCTGCATTTTAACAAATTGTTGTCTTACCTGAAGATTAATTGGAAATCATCATTTAATTATAAGGTCATAAGAGGAAACAAATGAACAATATTAGCCATCTATTTGCACATTTAAATGGATGGCTAAATATTGGATTAATATTTTAATCCAATTAATGGATGGCTAAATATTGCATTACTATTTTCGCTTTCAGAATAAGCATTTTTGCTTGCTTGGACATTTTTTGTCCAGCAATAATTAATGATATGTAGATTTGTGTAAGTCTCTATTTGTTCTGAATATTATTTTTTAAAATTTGAAACTAAATAGTTTATTGGTGTAGAATTCTGCTCAACATGATAGTTAGGCTGTTGTACCCTGCATTGTCTAAATAAAACATATTTCTTAAATTAGTTGTGTTGCATTTCAAGGTAATTAGAATTATATCACCTCCAAATGTTGCATCTCCCTTCAAATATGAAATCAATTAAACTGTGTAAAATTAAATAGTCAGCATTGAATTAAATAGTTCACACAAGTTAATAAATACAGGTGCTATTCCCACAATTTCAGTATGTTGGTAATTAACAATGGACTCAGGACAACTGGAAACTCCCAACACATTTCAAGGTGACTTCTCCCTTAAGCATGATTAGAAAACTACAATTACACTACTTTCTGTGGCCTACACTGATGTTTATAGCAGTCAATACTATTTTGCAATAAACTTAGGTAAGGTGACCAACTTTTTTACAATGAAAAGGAGGACACTAATAAATTGAAGAAAAAAAATATCATAAATAAAAGAAACATTTTATTCATTGCAACAATAATACAGAATACACTATAATATGATAAATGCATAATAAAAACATTTGTAACAATAACATTTAATACTGTAATTATGCTTACATGCCGTGCCCCTGTCTGCAGCCGCCCCGCCAGCACTGCTGCCCTGCTGTGTAGAGCGGGCCCCGTGGCTCCCAAAGCATCAGCTGTGCCAGCTCCGGCCCTGGGAGGGCAGCCCGCCATCGACACACCCCGCTTGCAGCAGCCCTGCCAACACCACCATCCACCCTGCACAGCCCCGTGTAGAGCAGGCCCCACAGCTCCCACAGCATGGGGGGCAGCTGGCCACTGCTGCCCCTCATACCCCTGCCCGCAGCAGCCCCGCTGCCCCTGCCTCTTGCGCCCACAGCCATTATTGCCCTAGCAGGGCCGAAGATCAAGAGAAAGTTACTGTGGCGTCACCACTCCAGTCTCCTCAGGTATCTTCAGGACTAACTAGGAGCTGGTATAGTTGGGTAGCAGGGAGGAGTGCAAAGTTCCTGCCAATTCGCCTTCACTGCAGACAACTTACATGTGCAAAGTTTGTCGGCCGGGTGTTTTGGCGCACTCAGCAGCAATTCCTATTGGCTTTCGAAAGCCAATAGGGGGAGTAGCACAGGTCATGCAAAAGTTGAAAAAAAAACATCAAAAAAGGTGCCGGAACGCCATTCTGAGCATTCTATGAGGAAAAAAAAGCCCTGCAGATTAGTCTTCAAATATCGAAAAGGAGGACATGTAGGAGGACACTTTTCGAGGGAGGATAGAACTCACAAAAGGAGGACTGTCCTCCCTAAAGGAGGATGGTTGGTCACCTTAACTTAGGCCTTTTGTGACAAACACTTTGTGACAACCAAACCCAATGGCACTTATTCTTTATGACCTATTGACCACAATGGAGTATGAAACTGTAAATATATAGTTAAAAATTTACTCTGTATGCCTCTTTGTGTAAGAGATTGCTGATCTTTCTTTCTTTGTTCCCAGGCATTTGCTTTCTGACTCTCCTCTTAGTAACATATAGTTAGCTAGATGGTTTTGCTTACTTGTACTATAAATTTCCTTCTGGTTATAAAATCTGTAAAGTCTGTTTCACTAATCATTGCTCAAGTCAGATCACTGCTCTCAGGAATCTTCTACATATCCAAAATTTTTCCACCTCTCATAAAAACAGCTATTGAAAATCAAGCAGCCTGTAGAAGACATTTAGAAATTAAGCTGGGAGAGATTTTTTTTTTTAAAAAAGACTTAAATTTACACTGCAGGCTCTGTGTGAACATGAAGCTTGAGGTTGCATCCAATCACCAGGAAAAAGGAAGTTGTCAAAGCAATCATTTGCCTTTTCTAATAAAGATATTTTTCCCTTATTTCATATTAAAAAATGCTCCATTTAGATCAATTGATGCAGAAATGTGCAATTCATATTTAAATAAAAATTCTGTTATAAGCCAAATGCAGTCAAGGCACTGGAAAATGTGGTGTTTTTTTTTTTTTTAGAAGCAATGAGTAATTGCTTAATCAGTCAACATCTGTATTTTCCATTTGCTTTCTTCACTTTCAATGGAACATATTGTTATCACATAACAATACACTGTGTGATATACAATACAATATAGGTCCCTTCCAGCTCTGTTATTCTGTTATTGATCAGTATGAATTTTAACTGCAGTCTGTTTATTGTCATGAAATCTTTAACTCTGATTGTGTTAAAGAACTACAGAATGAACTTACAGGCAGGCAAGCAATTTAGCATAATCTTCTTTCTGACTACATCCTTTATTTCTTCTAAAAGCAGTATTTTCACATCACCCAATCTGATTCAATTAACAATAGCAATGAGGAAGAGGACAGAAGAGCCAGTTTGGTGCTGACTGAAAAACCAGGAGATTGTGAGTTCTAGTTCCACTTTACCTATGAAAGGCAGCTGGATGACTTTGGACCAATCACTCTCTCTAGCCCAACCCATCTGACAGGGTTGTTGTGGGGAAAATAAAAGGAGGAAGGAATATGGGTATGTTGGCGCCTTAAGTTGCAAATGATAAATACAAATAAAAATGATAAAAATTAAAATAAATAAATAATAAAACTTGTTGCTTACTCAAAAATCAGAAAAATTAAAATGATGCATATAGTTTTATATATGGAAGACTGTATGGATAGCATGGGAAGTTGAAAATATCTGCTAGAAGAAGGCCATAGAGGACGATTTCAATATCATGCAAACAAACAAACAAACCCGTGCATAGATGTTTTAATGTAAGTCACCAGGAGTTCAGCTTGAATTAAAGAAAGCTTTACTTTAATCACCAATAATTTTAAAGTTGTGAGCTTTTAGCTGTCTGACTAAGCTGACGTAATTAACAATTGCTTTGAGAGCAGATTGCCTTTTCAAATGGATTTTTTATTTTTTTATTTTACTTCTATTTCCTTTATTGGCTTAGTTGATGCATTTTAACTTGTTGATTAAATTATCAAATTGTTTTCATTTTATTCACTTTTCTTTTTTCATACTGTTCTTCTGAAGAAAGTAATAGTAAAAAAGAATAAACAATCAGAGCAACATAACTAACCAAATTACTGAATAATTGTACAGTGCACAGTGTTGAATAGTTCAACAGTCCCCAGGTCCCAGATCTCTGTTCATGTAGCGTATCTCAGCAAATGGCATAGTTGAGAAAAGTTTCCAACATAGGAATACCTAAATTAACAAAATACATAATAGTAAGAAAGCAATGTAAAAATTATATTCAAGAGTGGCATGTTCAATTTTTGTTAAGAAAGGAAATATTGAACATGCCACTTGTTTATTTCATTGTTATATTTCAAATAATATGACCTTTCCTTGAAAATGATTATGCATATATGTGTAGCATTACCCCCTCAGAGGCCACCAAAACTCAGGCCCTCCCTGCCCTGCTCCCCTCCATCGTGCTCTGCAGCTGTGCTCTCCAGGTGTTAGTAAAGTGTCATATGAAGTGAGGAGGTGGCAGACTCTCGTCGTCAAAGGGGGGCTTTCAGGAACAAAGATGACCAGCCCCTAGCCCCGATAGTCAATGCTTGATGGTGTTTAACAGCCTCAGGCAGTCATAGCAGCAATAGTCAATGACTTCACAGTGACCATTTGAAAACAAGTGGACTGGGGAAACCCTGGCTCCAGGCAGCAATAGGAACATGAATTAAAATAGTCAGCATCCTGCAGTAAGAGCTCACTCTGCAAGGGCAACTCCACACAATGTCTATAACTTGTACAAAAGTAATAATAATCAAAGTTTGGATGGCTGCTAGTCTCCAAAGCAGTAACGACCAGCCTCCTCTTCTGTCATTGCTCACAGTCTCAGTTCTCGTCGGTGTCAACCCCCCCCCTTCCTTTCCTTTATTGCTGAAACCTGAATTTAGCAACCCCAGCAACTTTCTCTCTCCTCACTCTCTCTCTTGCCTCCACTCAGGATATCCCCCCTGCGAAAGAAAGCAGTAAAATTTCATCCTCTCACTCTCTCCTTCCCTCTCTTTCACAGAAAGGGATCAGCTAAAACCTCAAATCCAACTTCACCTGGTCTCTTTCCAACAACAGCAACTGCAACCACCCCACCTCCTTTCTTTCCTCCTTTTTCTTTCCTTCTTCCCAATCCATGCTCGCCACGCCCAAAACTGGCAGCAGCTTTCCGAGCTTCCCTCTCCCTGGGCAGACTCCTGCAAAGCCTTTCAGCCAGCCCCGCTACATATGGAATATTACTTTGATTTTTAATCCATCAGTAAAATATCGGGGAGTGGAACAAGCTAATGAAGCTTGAAGAATATGACAAATTAAGTTTAAAATACATGCATTTTCACCTAGAAAAAGTTTTTCAAAGTCATATTAAAGGGTAAAACAACAGAGAATTTCACCCAAAGCATCTATAAAAAGCAGCAAAATTAGAAATGTTAGATTTCTACTGAAATATAAGCTTGACTTCTGGAGGAAGTGTTCTAATATTACTATGTAAAGTGCTGAAAAATGCCTGTGCTTGCCATACATACCATTGAATTTAATAGAGCCCATTTCTGACAAGACACGAATAGAATTCATTGGTTGATTATGTGCCATCAGGTTGTTTCTAACTCCTAGCAACATATTGCTGGATTTTCTTCATGATGATCTGCCCCTAACCTGGTCTTTCAGGTCTCCCAACAGTGCACCTATCACCACTGGGACCAATTAAGTCCATCCAATTTACTACTGGTTATCTTCCTCTTCTCCTTCCTTCTATCATTCCCAGCATCGGAGATTTCTCCAGAAAGCTAGGACTTCACATATGTGTTTGAAGTAGAATATTTTACATTGTGATCCACTATTTTTTTTTCTCCAAGATCATTTGATCCAGGAGGGAAGATGGTTGTAACCCTAAACAGTAAACAGACAAAATTAATGAAATTTATACTTTTCCATTGTTAATGCATTTTGTGTTGTGAAGATATATCAAAAGAAGGCAAAAATCATTACAGATATCCAGGAAAACTTTAAGTAATCTCCCTCAAGACTTGTGATTCCCATTTACCTACAGTGCATACCAAATGTCTTGCATTTGAAGTTAATTTAATTTATATGTATGCACTTTTTTCAAAAGAAATAACAATAAGCTGCTGTATTCTGCCACTAAGCCTGTTATTAAAAAGATATTTTACACTGTCAAGCCACTTAAAGGTAGGGATATAATAAAAATTTGTCAGAAGAGAAATGAAGCTTTATGTTTACAGACTGTGGCTGAAGAGGGAAAAGATTAATCTTTGGATGATATATTCTCACCACATAGAAATCATGAGCAGAAGCACCACTGGACTTTTAGTGGATATGCAAAGTTGGAGAATCAGCATGTGGACAGGATACCACAAGGGCAACAACAGTCAATCAGACACATGTGAAGAGCAGGAAAAGATCAACTTCAGCCACTCAGCATCTGTCCATGGAAATAGTTTACACTTGCCAGAAAGTCAGCATACGAAGACAGAAGCTGGTGCTCAGCATCTCTTCTCTTTCTTCCAAATATTCCCTTTAAAAAGAAAAAAAAAGAGTCAGTCTTGTATAAGCTGTATAAACCTATGCATATGTTTGAATGCACATATGCTGAAAACACCAGCCTGAAGATGACGAATGGGACTTCGTCGAAACGTCGCCAAGACACTTCCAATTTTACGCGGGAGAAAACCCGAACAACCAAAGATTGATCTATCTATCTATCTATCTATCTATCTATCTATCTATCTATCTATCTATCTATCTATTTATCTATCTATCTATCTATCTATTCAAACATATGCATATAACACACACACAAACATACACACATTTAGAACCATCCCTGAACTTCCAAGGCATATAAATGGTAGAAGTATAGACAGCAATATACTAGATAAATGGATATAGCAAGAGATGCCACATAGATATACAACATTTTGTATATCGCGAAGATCAGAGCCTGTACCTGAGGGTATGAAGCACTGAGCAATTGTTTGGCAGACTGAGAATCCACAGTTGAAGGTCAGTCATGACTGTTGAAAATTATATTGTAAAGAATGAATGAGACATTCTTGCACAGCTATGACACTGACATGTGCAGGGAAACCCAATAACCTTGCAAACTGCCCTACCTTAGTTTGCTTTTTAAAAACAACCACACATACATAATCTCCATAAATGGACAAAGGAAAAACAGTAATCAGGCATCTGTCTGTTCCCAGAGATGCAAATATCCTTGTATTAAAATAAGCAATCTTATTGCTTCCCAAACATTCCTCAGTTAAAGAGAACAAAGGTTTGAATAAATGTCACTTTCCTATTTTTCTTTTCTAGAGTCAATACATGAAAATATATACAGTATTTATATAAGCACACTAAAATGAGTAGAAAATATTAAGTTAACATACTAAATAAGGCACAGTAAGGTACAGACATGCATAAGATGTCAGCAACAATCAAAAATTTTGATGCCTTAAGATTCAGAGAAGTGGAATAATAGAACAATTACTTCCCATGTTTGGTTTCTACGTCCTAGATTTTTTGTTAAGTCTTCCATTTTCTGCTCAGCAGACATTCAGATTATTCATTATTAAGAACTTATTTCAGATCACAACCTGGATGTCAGTAGATTAGGACATAGGAGAAAATTATCTTCCAATGTAGTGATGGAAATAAGTTCTTTATCTTATCATTAATATGGACTTTCATGGCTTTTTATTGTAATTATTAATTCTGTCAGCAGACTTTTCCAAATGTAGATCGTTCCATTTAAATAACATAATGAAGTTGAAAGTAGGGTTTAGTGATGGGCAAATCCTATTTTATTTTAGTTAATTTGCTTTTTGGAGCTTTGAAAACACCATTTTGTTTCTTCTTTGAAACAAACAAACAAAAACTTGACTCTCATAGGCAAATGAAAAAAATGGTATAATTCTCCACCCCATCATATCCTGATTTGTGAAAATAAAACATAACACTCTGCACAGAATCTGTCAGCTCAGTGGCACATGCTACTAAGTAAATATGCATAGAATCAAAATAAATGTAACGGTACAGTAGTTTGCTATTAGTAGAAACCAAGCATATAGGGGAGCATTTCTGGTTGAATTCTAATTAATTGCTTTTTTTTGTTCTCTCTTTTCCTTTCTATTTTCCTTGAGCTTCATCTTTTTTTTTTATTATCAATAGATTTCTGTATCTGAAAACAAAACCAGGTCCTGAAGCTTGACACACTGAAAACCCCAATTTTAATGAAATAGTTTATTTTGGTTCTTCTATTTGTAATTAATTGTGCATCACTTGTGATTTATACTGTTTTCAGAACAAATGCTGCTAAATGCCATTTACAGATAAGTGATGAAAACTCAAGATCCATAGGAGATAAACATTTGACTTTAAACTTAGGAAATATGAACAACCTTTGAAAAAAATATATTCTCAAATCCATGGATAGTTTGGCAGGTAGGTAAGCAATGGTAGACAGATTTTTGGGTGTATTTTCTTTTTGCAGATATATAAGATTTGGAAAGTCCTTCTAAAGTCAAAGAATTTTCTATAGTGTGAAATACTGTATAAGTTCTAGAGAAAAAAACAAGGTTTACCCTAAATGTATTTCTTCTTCCGTTGCAAATTCCTCAGACAAGTCTCATTCTTAAATACAGGAAGGATTTTTTTTAAGAAGTTCACAGTATTGGACTGCTAGATTGGGGGTCTCTTCATTAAAACTGATACCTTTTATTTTTAAGCTTTCCAGTCTATAGCTGAGAAAGACTGATCCAAAATTACACAGCTGTCTTCTGCGCCTAAGGAGGGAGTAGAAAATAGGTATCACTTCTCCTAGTCTAATAATTTGACTACTATACACACTGAGTGTCAAATCTGCATCTACATCTATATAGTGTATAAATCATATAAACTCATTTATATAGGAAGCAGTCATGCCTGTGGGTTTCATTCCCCATCACAGACATTTGGATTTTATATGTAATTGGCCTTAGAATATTACCTGGAGAACAGATAATATCTCTGTTCAAAAAACACCTTCTCTATGGAAATAAAAAATAATAATTTCTCCTTTCCTCACATCTTAGTTTCAGTTGTCTTAGGCTTTGATTCTAGCTAGAATAGTCTTCCTTTCTTTCCCTCATTTTTCAACCATGCCAGTGGCATTCTTTAAACATTCCAACTCTTAATGATAATTTAGTACAACTCCGAAGAGGCGACAATGCAATATATTTCATTGTAGAGCTTGGAACCTTTTTGTAATACTGAACTATTTGTTTTTCATCTTGCTTTATGCCTTGCAGCTATTACATGAGAGATAATTGAAGAACTACTACTTAGTAAATATAGTACTTGTTGCCAGGAGTTGCTTTAAATTTCTTCAGTGCCTGTTTAAGAGATAATGGAAGAGCAAGAGGCTAAAAACAAAACTTCTCTTCTTACAGAAGGACTTCTTAATGATCTATTAAATGATGGAACATGGACAAGAAATGATTCTGTTTGTATGTTTAGGTTATAGTTGGATCTATGGAATTCAATAAAAATGAACAAAAAAGGCTTTTATACAGATGGTATTATAGCTTCCAACTTAGAAAATTTAAAGAATGAAGTAGACACATTTAGGTAAGATTAAAGCTGTGAATGGCATTACAATGACAGTTCCATTCATCCAGAATTAGAAGCTGCTTCCCTTTGAAATCCATTTGCTGGGAACCAAGAGTGGGAAAGAGCTGTTGCTGTTATATTCCCTTTTCTGATTAGTTATCATAAAAGTGGCTGCTATTTGGTCTGACCCAACTTGGTTCTTATATTGCACGCAGGAACATTGTTCTCCCATAAGATATAAATGCTGTTTCAACAGAGTTGCTGTAGCTTGCCTATCTTTTTCGTACATGTTATTTTCAATATGCTACTGTAAGCAACCTGTTAATCTGTTTGAAAGGGTCTTTTGGGAGGAATAATGCTATGAAGAAAAAATAATTATAACAAATTAGAATAGAATCACCTGCTCTTAACAGTGTACAATCATAACAGAATGAGTAAAACTAACAAAATGCAATAATATGACCTTTGAAAGAATAATGACCCTCACATACTCTGTCAGCCATGCTTTAATAATCCTGTAGAAACTTAACAGGAAGTAGCAGTTGATGCAAGTGCCATATATTTCCTAAAAGAAATAGGCATCCACCATTCCATATCCATTCCTAGTTTCCACTGTACATTTTCCTTAATGGGGATGAGGATTTCTGCTATATTCTGGATATGCTTTTAAAAATGCTTGCACTGGATGACTGCATGAACAACATATATGCAGTCTGGCAATACTCCAGATTGCAGAATAAGATTAGCAGCACACAGTAGAAAAATGTCATGCCCTTAGAATCAACACTCCTTATTTGGAAGAGAAGTTCATGTAGTCTGTATAGTGTTAGTGTTGGTGCTAGGGTTAGGGTCAAATTTAAATTATTCTGCAATGGACTTTATCATCTTCATTTGGTATCCAATGAATCCTGTCCAAAATTCAGAATAAACAAATAACTTCCCAGCATCATTGCTTACCTTTTTTTTTATAGGAAGCTAACCATCCAGACTGAGTTTCAGCTCCCTTCAAGCATAAAAGTATACTATTCCTGAAGCTCTATTTGAACCATCTGTGGCCTATTTGTAAGTCTCTATTTCAGCTTTATAGTTCTCCTTGCAACTGAACTGTTGCAACTGTTTTACATTTCTGGAGGAACTTTACTATCACTTAAAACTGAAGAAACAAAAAAACATTTGTTACCATTCCATGGAGGCAGCACAAATAACTTTATACTAAAATTTTTGTCAGAACCAGTTTGGTGTAATGGTTAAGGCATCAGAATAGAAACTGGGAAACTGTGAATTCTAGCCCTGCCTTGGTCACAAAGCCAGATGGGTAGTCAATTTCTCCTAGGCCTAGGAAGGAAGAAATGACAAATCACTTCTGAAAAACCAAGCTAATAAAACTACAGGGATATGTCCAGACAGTGTTTAAGAATTGGACACGATTGAATGGAAGAAACACAAACAGCATCTTTTCAGGAAATCTTGGGCTCTGCCTCTGACGTGGATCTCACAATACAAATTCTTGGCCTAGAAAATGAATTGCACTCGTACATTTGTTCTAGACAGCATTGAAAAGAACTAAAACTGAAAATTTAGAAAAAGTTGAATTTAATATATAGACATGCATATATGCTAGAACTATTCCTTTATTTAACTTCAATTACAATTTAATGAACAAACACATTTGATGATAGTAACTAGAACAGACACGTCAAACACAAGGCCCGGAGGCCAGATGGTTTCATGTGGCCCGCCAAGCTATCCTGGAACAGTGAGGGAATGGCCCCCACTGCCTTGGCCCTGGCCCAGGCTGGCCGGCAGCCAATGTACAATTTTGTGGTGGCCATCTATGCTGAAATGCATTCACTCTTAGCTCCACAAGGCCGTCTGGAAACAGAGAGGAACCAGCCCCTGCTGCATCAGCCCCACCCCCTGGGTGCATGCTGGGGAGGTGTCACCCTCTGTGAGGAATGAAGAAATGCACCATCGCCTGAAAGTGGCAGCAAATGGCCCTCGCCTACTTCACATATCCAGCTTGATGGGCTCTGCCCTGGTCCCACCCCTTTCTGCCCAGACTCCCACAGGCACCCTTGACGCAAATGATGTAGAGCTGGCCATGCACACCCAGTAGGCCGCACCCACCCTGGCCAACCCCCCCCCCCAAGGTAACTGCAATGCTGATGCGGCCCTCAATGAAATTGAGTTTAACACCCCTGAACTAGAAGGACAGGAAACATAGTGCAGGGAGAGAATCGGCTGCAATGATAAAGAGTAAATATGCTGAAAGTTATATATTAGACCAAGGTAAACTACAGTGAGACTGCTGTAATCCTACGATTATAGAATCAAATATGTCATGTATATGAAATGGGCATCCTATAAATTTACTACATAAATAAATAAAATTTATTAAACAAACTGGATAGCTTGTAGAAACTCCCTCTAACAATCAGTCTTTCTTTGTGGCTGCCTGTTACTTACAGTCCATGTGACTGTGATATGGATAAGAATGTCAGTAGAGAGAGGCGCACAGAACATCAAATAAACAGAAGGACCAGATAAGGAGAGCAGGAAAATAAATAATTGAAAGAATGATAAGAAGATGCTAAGGGCAAGGACAGACTGAGATCTTTTAAGGAATTAGCACAATTCATTGTAGTAAATAAATATTCTGTATCTGAAGTTTTTGAAGCATTTTTCTTTATTTCTAATGACATAAATCTACTATCTCCTTTTGTACTGCCTGGAAAGATACAATTACTGGCACCCCCACCTCACCCCATCCCATCCCACCCCACTCCACTCCACTTCACCCACCCCACCCATCCATCCAACCCCACTTCACTGCACTCACCCCACCCCATCCGTCCCATCCCATCCCACCTCACCCCATCCCATTCCATCCCACCCCACCCCACCATCCCATCCCATCCCATCCCCATTCCATTCCTTAGGCTTCTAAAACTTAGAAGGTAATATTCTCATCATTACAAGAGCACTAAAGAGCCAGTACAAACTGACTGAGACTGGGTTAAAATCATGCACATATCTTAAATGTAAACTCAGTGACTTCTGCATAGATTCTTTCAGTCAGACCAGCTATCTGATTCTTCCTTGATAATTATAAAATGAAAAAAAAAAACTTTAAAAGTAATTAAGAAAAAGGAAAGACAACAAATCTTACTAGATGCAATATTCTATTTAGTAATTAGACTGAGTTCTCTGTTTAATAACTATCAGGTTCAATGTTAACAGCATGATCATCTACTGAGCCCCGAATCTTGTTTTCAACCATATAATTCCTCAAAATTAGCATTCACCAAAGGCCAAGCAAAGTCTATTCTATCTATATCATTTTAATAGGCTCTAAGAGTGTATAAAGACATTTATTATGACACAGGAGAAACATTACAGTAATATAGCTTGGCAAAAGATACACGTATACTTTGAGGAGAATATCCTGAAAATATAAATGTAATGTACAATCTGCAAAGAAAAATTCTCTCACCATACCGCCCTCTTCTTTTTCATACTGCCAACTCAATAAAGAATGGGATGTTGAGATGTGTTTGAATAGTAGTAGCTCGGGTTGGTAGTTGGGATGTTGCTTTGATCTTTGAGCTTGGCGATTTGGCTGCAAACATTTTGTCTTCATTTGGGGAGACATCTTCAGTGCGCTATGAATTGAGTTCATCTGTCAGAGCACTAGCCTTTAAATATGTTTTTGTGTGATGTAAATTGGTGTGGGTGTTATTTGTCTGGATGTTTCTGAGTCATAGTCTGGTTTCAGGCTGTTTGATTGGCTGTTTGTTGTTGCTGGGCCATAGTCTTTGGTGTTTAAGTATCATCTGTGTGATGCAAATGGTGTTTTTCATTTGGTTGCCTCTGAGTCATGGTCTGGTTTTGGGTTGTTTCCCTGGCTGGCTGTTGTTGTTGCACAAAGTGCACAAAGAAAACACCTCACTCAGTCCAATTGTCTCACTCCCTGGCACACCCACGTACAACTTTGCAAAAGAAATGTGGAAATGCCTACAGCACATAATCAGCGATTCCCAATATTCCATAAACAATGCCATGCAATTCCTGGATAAGCTCAAACACCTACACATTGATGAAGATGAAACAATGATATCATTCAATGTTACTGCATTATTCATATCAGTAGATCTGAAACTAGCAATTCACCTAATCAAAGAACTACTGTACAACATACAACCACTAAGAGGGCCACTCACAACAGAAAACACATGCAAACTCCTCCAGCTATACTTAACCACCTACTTCAAATTTGATGGAGAGATCTATGAACAACTAAAGGGATTGCCTATGGGATCTCCTATATCTGACCTGGTCGCAGATGTCATCATGGAGAAAATCGAAGAAGTGGTACTTTCACAAATAAACCTCAAGCTATGGGTATGTTACAAGGACAATACTCTCATGATAATCAAGTGTAATCAGGTCGACCAAACCTACCAAAGAACCAACAACATCTTCTCAAACATCCGATTTACAATAGAAACCAAGAATAATAGTGGATGTCCTTGTAACCAGAACCACCAATGGCCAAATTCTAACATCCGTGTACAGGAAGATAATCCTCAACTTCCACAGCAACCACCTCAAATGCCACAAACAATGCTGTGTTAGAACACTGTTTGGAAGAGCAGAATCCCATTGCAACACCATAGAAGCCAGATCAGCAGAGCAAAAACAGTTTTACAAAGTCTTTGAGAGAAACGGATACCCATGAAACTTCATCTGGAGATCCCTACACACAAACAATACAAACACCCAAAGCAACACAACAACTACAGCAGGAACAGCAATGACCAGACAAAGCACAATCCCCTACGTATAGAGATGACAGCAAGACTATGCCAACATGACCTTGCAATAGCCCACAAACCAGCCTCAGCTCTCAGGCAGACCCTGAGAAACAGACAGAAACAAACCAAAGATCAGGCATCATATAACAAATCCAGTGCAGCAACTGTGAAAAGAATTAAGTGGGCCAAACAGGAAGAAAGCTATCTACCAGACTGCACAAACACTTCCTGGCTATCAAAAGACATGACCCACTATCCCTCATGTCCATCCATGAATATTCAGAAGGGCACCAGTTTGATTGAACTGAAACCACAGTTGTAACCCAAGTGAAATCAAGGGGAGAAAGAGAATTCCTCCAGCCTGATTCTCCACCAATAATAACAGACACATTGGCATCGACCCAATCTACCAACCACTGAGGACCAGGGAACTACTTCAATCCCAAAGGCAACATTTCAAATGAACAAACAGGCACTCCCTTCACACAACAACTAAAATCATAAGAACCTGGACCATGTCACAACAACAACAGCCAGCCAGCCAAACAGCCTGAAACCAGTCCATGATTCAGAAATATCCAGACAAATAACACTCACACTAATTCACATTACACAAAAAGGTATTTAAAGGCCAGTGCTCTGACAGATGAGCACAATTCATAGCTCACTGAAGATGTCCCCCCCCCAAATGGAGACGAAATATTTGCAGCCAAATCACCAAGCTCGTTGATCAAACCAACAGCACAGAATGGGATGTGTTCATTTTTTTATTTGATCAAATGAATATCATACCTGACAAAAGATATACATCAAGGTCACCTTGGTATTAGTTGAATTGTTTATTAGCAAGAAAAATCTGAAATTACTTAGGTCTCTCTGCTTATACTGCCAATATCGTTCTTGCTATGTTCGCTTACATATCACTAATTCTTCCTCCACCTCATTAATATAATTTTAGGAATCTATCCATGTAATTTATTTTCCATAAAGAAATCTGGATATAGAGCTTACTGCTCAAGAAGACTGTCTGGGATGAGATGACACCTAATAATATATTCTGCTTTTATATCCACAATCAATTTAGACTACTGTTTCAGAATTTTAAAACCCTAAATAACAGGGCTTAATACTGGCCTCTAAACAGTATTGTAAAAGTGATTTTACCCCATACAATATTGCCCAATTCTTGAAAGTATAATCTCTGTCTCTTTATCTCCTCTGCCACCACAGTCAAATTTTTCATCTCAGTTTGTATCTACAGCTGAAGGTGAAGAATTTTGAAAGGGTGCTTTCATTTTGGATATTTTCTTGTTTAAGCATCATTTTAAAGAAATCCTGAACCTGTGGTATAATACAATAGAAACATTCTTTGAACTTTTTTCTGCTCTTCTTTTTTTATCTTCACAAAGACTTCCAGATTGTCAGCAGGTAGCAAGAAATATTTGTTAGATAATTGTCTGACTTATTCATTAGAGAGAAAACATATAGTTTGTTCTACAGAAAAAAAAATAATTAAAAAGTTGTTAAAAAAATCCCTGAACCAGCAGTAATCTAGGTGATAACAGTTACTTTAATTTCATTACTGACAGATCAGGGTCACAACAACAGCAATTACCTGTAATTTCCCATTCTGGCAATTATATTATTATGAAAATGATCATTTGCTAACTGCACTAAAGCTTCTTGGGACGCTAAAGTGAATTCTTTTCACTTTAGCATGCTTGCTAATTGTGTCAGGTCTTTAGGGTAATGTGATTACTGCAGCTTTTGTTTCCCCGTCAGAGATAGAGAGGAAGAGAGAAAGAAGTACTAAGTAAAAGACTAATGTTACTTTTCATGTGAATATTGTTTCACAGTAAATCCACAGGGGAAAAATTCAGATACATACCTTTATAGGAACACCTATTATATTTTCATGTTGAACTATGTACAGTTGCAGTCAGTACAAGGGAGCTAGAGAAATGACATCAAGAAAAGAAACAAGGATAAAACTTTAAAACAAACAAAGCATTTATTATTTTAAGATGTAAAACGTTGGGCTATATGACCTCTCTATTGTTATTCTTGTCCCTTGAAGCTTTCTTTAGAGGAAGACTTCAGATCCAGATAAGATGATTGTGTCTAGATAATTATGTCTCAATCCCCTCGAGATGTTTTTTTAGACTTAAAAAATCTGAGATCTGAGATAACATAACCAATGACAAGGACTTGTGGGAGTTACCCCACAGATATTACTTATCTGAAGGTTGGTAAACAAGTCTTTCTCCTGTGTTAAAGGGATCTTGGAGTAGATCAGTGCAACCATTGAGAACAAGCATCATATACAAACCCATAAAGTCCTACAAAACACACTAGCAACCCAGAGATCCAGTATCATAGAAAGACCAAACAGGAGTCATCTACAAAATAAAATCCAAGAACTGTGAACACCGAGATTCACCTTTGCATAGGACAAAGGGACAAAGGAAATAGTGCAGTGCACCAGGTAATACCAAGTAGCTGTCAGAAGATGCAACAAAACTTTACTAATGTCCCTCTACATAGATAACTTCAGTTAGAAAACAATGGAAGTCTTAGTGCAAGCAAACCAAGGAATCCCAAAGGTGCTTTTTTTCCCACGAGGCAACTGGACTTTCTTGTTTTTCTTTGAAGATGTTTCACTTCTCATCCAAGAAGCTTCTGAAGAGCTGAAGATCTTCTTGATTGCCCCTACTTTATGAGGTGCCCCAAAGCTCAGTTCTGTCTCTTCTCCTATTTAACATCTACATTAGACTACTGGATGAGATAATCTGATAATCTGGGGTAAAATATTATCAGTATATTGAAGACACCCAGCTTTATATTTCCACCCTGAGCTGCCTAAATTATTGTGGAAGTCATGTGATGACAAATGTTGCAGGCAGAAAGCCTTCGTAATGTAACTTTCTGGATACTATTGTAAAATTGAATAGTGAGCATATATCACTATTCTCCATAGGAAACCAATTGAGTGACCACTATACATACCTATGACTTTTCAAGTTTCATTCATAAAATACTACAACATTCATCATCTATAGCCAAGCTGTATTAGACAATCTTAATGGACACTTACTGTAAATAATAGGTTTAAATTAGGTACTTCTCCAGAACAATAGAGATCCAATGAGGATAAAAACAAAAGTAGAAAACAAAACTATTTTGAGGAATAATTAATTACAAGATAAAGTTGGAAGAGATACCAATCTCATTGTTGCTTACATTTTTAGCTATCCTAAATAATGTAGAGACTATATTAAATAGTCCTACTTTTAGGTATGTCTTAGGTTAAAGGCATTTACTTGTTTACAGGCAGCAATGTGAGCTGAGGCAGCTACTACCTAGTGATTTTTTAAATTTAAAATGTATTTACTATTTTGTGATTCAGTGTACAAACCCAATCATGATTCAGTTAATTGTTGTGGGACACCCAGCCACTAATCTTGCTTGTTTTACAATATTGTATATGGCAGAATTTGCTGGTTATACTCCACTGGAGATCTGTTTAAATGATAACTGGACACATTTTTGACATCAGAAGTGGCAACATCCTGAAATCAAAAGGAAACATTTCAGTTTTCCACAAGACATTTTCTTTGACCTTGAGAAAAGGAAATATAAAGACTGGATAAAAGAAATGACAGAACTGACTAATATTCATCAGAAGAGCTAACTCCCTTTTCTCCTAATTAGCTAAGGCCAGCTAATACAAGTGTTAGCTAGCCTTGTACTGCCAAAACATCCCTTTCAACATTTGTGACTGTTTCATCTTTAGTTAATTTCTGAACAGTAGCATCCACAACAATTTGCTGCTTT